TATTGGAAGAGCCGCGGCAAAACTCGAACACAGAAGAGGGAAGGGGGCTGGACTCGTGTGACCATCCTGCGGCCCTGTCGCAGGATCGGGGACCTGGCAGAGCTGGATGGGTCAGGAATATGTCGCCCCGCCACAGGAAGTGGCCCCGGGAGGGGCGGGATGGGGAAAATACATGTTTCCCAAACTATCCAGTGGTGTTGGGTCATCGTTTTGAAGAGACGGCGCCCCGCGTTCCTTCCTTCCTTCCTTCCTTCCTCATCCTCTCCTCCTCCTCCTCCTCCTCCTCCTCCTCCTCCTCCCCCTCCTCCTCCTCCTCCTCCTCCTCCCTCCTCCCCTCCCTGCCTCTGCTTTCCGCATGTCCATCCCATTTCGGCACACCCCTCACACGTTTCGTGGCCCCACAGGGAGCTCCACCGAAGGCCCCAATGGAACGTTCGCATGGCACCGCCGCCCTATTTCGGCACACCCCTCACACTCTTCGTGGCCCCATAGGGAGCTCCACCGAAGGCCCTCAAGGGAAAGTTCGCATGGCACCGCCGCCCCATTCTGGCACACCCCTCATAAGCTTCGTGGCCCCACAAGGGAGCTCCGCCGAAGGCCCCTGTGGGCAAGTTTGAATGGCATCGCCGCCCCATTTCGGCACACCCCTCACATGTTTCTTGGTCCCTTGGCACCGCCGCCCCATTTCGGCACTCCCCTCACACGTCTCGTGGCCTCACAGGGAGCTCCACCGAAGGCCCCAGTGGAAAGTTCGCATGGCACCACCGCCCAATTTCGGCACACCCCTCACACGCTTCGTGGCCCCATAGGGAGCTCCACGGAAGGCCCCAATGGCGACGTTCGCAGGCGTCCTCCCGACTCATGTCGGCACACCCTTGACACGCTCCGTGGCAGAAGGCTATACCGCGTGCGCTACTCGGAGTTTGCGCGCTCCCTCATTCGTCTCATCTCCCTCGCGGCACTCGCAGCTGCATGTGGCTGGGTCCTTCGTCAAGCTAATTTGCAAATCGAGACCACATGTGTCCACTGCACGCCCGCCGGTGAATCTGGCCGCAGGTGCTGTCACTCGGGCTGTGGGGGACTAGGAGCTCCAAAATAAGCTGCGATGCTCGATTCAACCTCCGCAGTTGCACCCTGCGCTTGCGAGTAGAACCCTCAAGTCGATGGGTTTACCAGACACAATCTCCACGATGATGACCTTGCCATTCCTGCATTTCTGCGCAACGACAGCGTCCGCGTGAGAAGCACCTGGTGCTTCGCCGCCACAGCTGCCTGTACCTTGGGGCGAAAGGCTCGTATCCACTGCGCACGCTGAACTCCCACACGCAGTTATCGTTCGGGGATGCCTCGGGGGCCAGCACCAGAGAGAGGCTAGGCACCTCAGCCTCCACACTCGACGCCTGCACTCGCGCCCACACTCCACGCCCACACTCGCACCCCACACCCGCCCCTCACAATCGACCCCCACACTCGCACTCATACTCAACCTCCACGCTCTAAGCCCACACTCGCACCCCACACTCGCCCCTCACTCTCGATCCCCACACTCGCACTCAGACTCACCCCCCACACTCTACGCCTACACTTGCACCCCACACTCGCCCCTCACACTCGACCCCCGCTCTCAACGCCCACACTCTACGCCCGCACTCGCACCCCACACTATACGCCCACGCCCGCACCCTGCGCGCGCCTCCCACACTCGACCCCCCCACTCGCCCCTACACTCACCCCGCACACACTACGCTCATACTCCACTCCACACTTGCCCCTCACACTCGACCCTCTCAATCGCCCCTCGCGCTCGACCCCAAAACTTGGTCAGTCAACTCTGGGTCGCCCGCGAACCCCGGCGGTCGACTGGGAACTCTCTCGCACACTCGGTCGTTAAATCCAAGCACTCTCGACGAAAATAACTGCGCCGAGCGTCGTGGAGCTAATGCATGCCACGAACCTACACACAGTTGGCCCCACTTGGTTAGCTCACGCAGTGGCACGCGCCGCCCTATGATCCACCACCCTGCCGCCTGGTACTGGGTGGAGCACCCCGGGGCCTCTTTGATTCCCGCACTTGCAGGATTGACTACTCCCCGAGGGGCCCAGACCCCCGACCCCCAAACCCGCCAGCCCCCTGGGCGCGGGTGATTCAGGGCGCTTCCTCTTCCAACCCCCTGGCTCACCTTCCCAAGCCCTGGTCTTGAGGGTGCGCTCCCCGAGTGCGCACCAGGTGTGAGAGCTGAACGCATGGAAGCTTGTGGAATCTTGGAGCTTTGAACGCTTGAGAGGAAGTGCTGGACTTCTGGAGGACTGAGAACTAGAGGGTACGAAAGGTAAGAGAGCCGAGCTGACTTCACGCCGGGAGCGGGGGGGCAGTTGGCGGCGCGCTCAGAGGAAAGGGGTGGCGCGAGGGGGGCGGCCTCCCAGGAAGGCCAGCAATTAGCTCGGAGGCTTCTGCAGACGCTCCCTCGAGACCAGCTCCCCAGACATCCAGCGCTCCGATGTAGGCGATGCGTGGACACCCCCCGACCTCTCGACCCCTTCCTCGAAGGCCAGCGATCTCTCCCGAGGCGTGTTGTCGACGGCCCCGAGGCCCGAAACCGGCCCCCAGAGGCCCGAAGTGGCGGCAAACCAGACGCCTCGACCTTCTCGAGGCGCCCGGTGCCCGGCTGCCGGGCCATCCCTGGGCACCCCCGGAGCGCTCTCGCCGAGGCGCAGGCGCAGCTGCAGGGTGACGCGCTCCGGGAGAAGCTGCCCTGCGAGAACGCAGCACTCAAGCCTCGCGCCTCGCAGCGGAGACGGCCGGCCCCCTCGGCTGCACGTAAAGAGTGACCCTGGGCAAGCGTGGCCTTTGGTGCGCGGCTTTCTGGGGGGCGCGAGGAGGCAAAACGCAGGCGCGCAAGACGCGAGTATCGCAACGAGCGCGGCGATCGGGGGGACCCCAGTGAGCGCGCACCCAAAGGTCACTCCGGGGAAGGGTCACTCTTACGTCTAGTCGACCCCCGCCCCCCACCAGAAGGCCGCTCCCCTCTCGCCGCGAGCCCTCGCCGCGCGCCGCCGAGCCCGGCCGAGGGCCCGGGGGCCCCGGCGGCCCTGGGCGGCTGCGGCGGCCGCGGGGCCCGTCCTCGCGCAGGGCCTCCGCCTGCGGCCACAGGGCCTGCCGAGGGGCGCTCGGGCCGGAGGGGGGGCGAAGGGGGCGGCGGCCCGAAGCGGCAGGAGCCGAAAGCTTCTGGGCGTTGAGCCGCGCATCGCCGTCGCCGCTGCGCATCGCACCGGCCACTGAGCATCACCCCGGCGATGCGGCGCCGTGCACCCACCGGGGGAGGCCTGCCGGAGAAGAGAAGTGAGGGGCTCCTTCCGCAGGCGAAGCCCGCGGGAGGAACCTGGAGCCCGAGGTGGCCCACAGTGCCCCCAAGTGGGGGCGGGGGGGGGGGCTCGTGGGCGCCCGAGGTGGCCCAGGACGCCCCCCGTGAGGCCTTCGAGGGGGCCGAGCTGGCGTCGCCGCCGCCACCGCCGTCATCGCCATCATACACAGCCCCTTCCTCCAATCGGGGACACGCCAACACGGATTCCAGATCCGTAGATCTGACACATGGGCACGGCCGAATGCGTCGCCTCCCGGTTGTGCGACGGTGCGCGTCGATTTTCGCATAGAAGCGGAACCCGTCGCAATTCCTCGGTTCCCCCCTCATCATCATCATCCTCCCCCAGGCTGCCTGCCAGTGTGGAGGCGCCTCCACCCCCACGACCCTGCTGCCCCTGCCCCCTGCCCCCCCCCCCCCTTTCCTACTGAGCAAAATCCTATCCCCCTCCTCCTCCGCCTCCTCCTCCTCCTCCTCCTCCTCCTCCTCCTCCTCCTCGATCCCTTTCCTTAGAGATTACTCCCCCCTGTCGCGCCCCCAGGAGTAGGGCGGGCGAAGCGTTTCGATTGGGATGTCCTAATCATGAAGCCGCTTACTCGCAACAGTTACACGGCAAAATGGAGCTCTCGCCTTAGCGCCGCGCACACTCGCCTTATAAGATGCAGGAGACATCAGGATGGAGCACATATAGTTTTCATAATGGAGCAAGCGCCTCAGCGCCGCGCGTACGTCTGAAAACATGCAACCGTCACAAAGGATGCAGCACTGGCAGCTTTCAAAATGGAGCTGACGCCTCAGCTCTGCGCACATTCGTTTCACAAGCTTGCGACAGCTACAAGGATTGAGAGGGGGGTCGAAATGCGGCTCTCGCCCAAAGGCGCGCACGTTGGTCCTAAAAGCCAGCAAAACCCGTAAGGATGGAAGGCGGCTCGTTTTCAAGATGGGCTTCTCGCCTCAGCGCCACGCACACTCGTTGCAGAAGCTTGCATGAATCACAAGAATGGGGGGCGGCTCCTTTGGACGATGGGGCTCCCGCTCGGGACTCCCTGAAATGTAAAGACCAGAAGACTCGACACTTGAAGCAGCCGCACGGGCGGAGGGCGGCGTCTTCCCACAAGCGGGCTCTCGCTCGGGGCCTGCTCGAGGGCTGAGACACGAAGTGGGAACGTGCGCAGCAGCTGCACAGCTGGGGGCGGTCGTTCTGTTGAGGGCGGATACTGCAGATTTCGTAATAAAGGGAGGGGGGGTTCATTTCGGGGGGGGGGTCTCTTCGAGGCTATCTTGGAGGGCCTGGGGGGTCCGGGGACGATGTTTTGGAGGGTTCTCCCACGGGGGAGGTCTGAAATGGCTTGTCTTGGAGGGTCCAGACCCCCTCCTTTTTATTACGAAATCTGGAGTACTGCTCGACACCTCGTTGAGCTGCCTGACTCTGCCTTCCTGCACTCCTGCGGCAGCGCCAGGACGGACGCAGGGCAGAAGCGGGGCTCCCGCCTGACTGGCAGGCCCCGCCGCGTGTGCGTCCTGCAACAGGGACGTGCCTCGCAGTAAAGAGAAAGGCTTCTATAGGGACTCGTGAGGAGGGCTTTGGAATGAGAGGGTGCACTGCAGCATCACTGATGCATCTGAGGTTTACTCTGTTCCTCATCCTACTCCTGCGTCCACATCCCTTCTCCTTTTAGATTGCTGCTCTCTGCCGCAGCCCCAGGAATGTCCGTCGTGCGGGCTGGGCGTTCTGCCCGAGACTTCCTTACCACTTATGATCACAACGACAACTGCAAAGATGGAGCACATGCCGGTTTCGGCATGGAGGTCTCGCCTTAACGCAAAGCATGCTCGTCGCAAGAAAATGCAGAAGGTACAAAGTTGGAAGTAGGTCGTTGCCAAAATGGAGCTATCGCCCTAACGTCGCGCACATGCGTCTCAAAAGCTTGCAGCTGTTACAAGGATGGAGGACGGCCCCTGTTCAATACAAGGCTCCCGCCCCAGCGCCGCGCACATTCACCTTAGAGCTTGCAGCAGTTACGAGGATGAAAGGTGGTTCCTGTCTTGCAACAGCCATCAGATGGAGAACGCACTCTTTTCAAAACGGGGCTATCGCTTGAGATCTCCTGAAATTTGAAAAGCAAAAAACGCAACATGTGCAACAGCTGCACGGATGGAGGCGGTGCCTTCCACCAAAAAGTGAGCTCCCGCCTAAGACTTACTCGAGGTCTGCGACCGGCACTGTGAACTTCTGCAGTAGTTCTATTGATGGCGGGAAGCGTTTTCACGTGGGGATCTCCCTGGACACATCGCTGGAATGTATGATCATACCTTCTCGGATTTCTGTTTGCGCGCTAGAAAAATGCAAGACTGTTCCTTTTCAAAACGGGGCTCTCGCATCAATGGCAGGCCGACCCGGTTTGAGTATTGCAAGGGGTACGCTCCTTGTACAGAAAAAGGAAGGCTTGCAGGGACTTATGATGAGGCGACTTGGGACGGGAGGGCATGCTGCAGCATCGCTTGTGCATCTGAAATGCACTCTGCTCCTCCTGCTCCTCCCATCCCTCCTCCTCCTCCTCCTCCTCCTCCTCCTTCTCCTCCCTGCTCCTCCTATCCCTCCGCCCTCATCTTCCTTCATCATCCTCCTCCACTCCACCTCTTTAGCACTGCAGCATTGGATCCAGACTGTCGTGCAAGCCAAACAACACCCCCCACCCCTCCACTCCCAACCCCCCCTCCCCCCAAGAGGACGTCGCCGCCTGGCCTTGGGCCCCGCGTTCTGCCGCTGGTCGCCGCCGGCGTTGCTCCTGGGCCAGTCTGGGGAAAGGGAGACGAGCATGGAGGGGGGGATGGAGACGAGGATGGAGGGGGGGAGGGGGACGAGCGAGGGGAGGGGAAAAGGGGACGAGGGGGGAGGGGGGGAGGGCACCCGCCGCGGAGTGCACCCCGAAGTGCCCGCGGGGAGAGAAGCCACGCCACAGACATCCACGGGACCTGTTAGGGATCCAACCACCCACTGCGCATCCGTAGGAACGCACAGGGATCCGACCACACACAGCGGAGTGCGCATCCACAAGGCGAGTGTGGGGGGCCACCAAGCCATGGGGACCGGAGCGCCCACAGAAAAGTGAACCCCGCAGGGCCAATTCATCACAGCACGAGCAGGAGCCCTGGGCGCCAGCACTCCTACGAGAAACTGCACGAACGGGTAGCGCTCGCGAGCCGCCCAGCACCCCAAATAATTGTAGTAAAAAGCAGGTTCCACAAGCAAGAAGCGGATGCACAACACATCGGGAAACGTAAGGAAGAGGCTGGAAATGGCGCCGAATACGAGCTCTGCGCGCGCGGCTCCGTGTCCTAGGGGTGCCCAGCCTTCGAGCAACTCCACCAATTCAACACTAACAAAATCTACCGACCCCCGCTTGCCGGGGGCGAGAATTCGTGTGAGACATTGGGTTGTCCTTCTCCCCCTTTTCCCCTCCCCTGGGGTCCAAAATGCCGTTTGAAGGGGGAGGGGGTGGGGCACGAGCTCGTCGACGCACCCCCGAGGCCTCCACAGCCTCCACAAGGCCCCAAGAGGGCCCAGACAGAGCGCCAAGACAGTCCAAGAGAGCGACGAGACGACCCAGAGTAGCCCCACGACGACCCAAGATGACTCCGAGACGGCATACAAGGCCCCCAAGACGATCCAAAAAGTGCGACCAAAGGCCTCAAGAGGCACAAATCGCGCCATTCCATTTGGAAAATGTGCATTTTTAGCACACTGGCCTTTTCGTCTTGGCAGCTTCTAAGAATGCCCAATGAACCTCCAAGATCGTCACAAGACGGCCGATAAGGTCCCCAAGAGGGCCCCAAGACGGCCCAAGAGGGTCCTGAGACGGCGCCAGGGGGCCCAAGAACAGCCAAAGAGAGCCCCATGAGGGCCCCAACAGAGCCCAAGAGGGGGAATACGAACTGATATTTCAAGCCTTTCCCCCCAAGATGGCTCCAAGAGCCCCCCAGAGGCCCCCGAAGCACACCCAAGAGGCCCCAAGAGGCCTCCAAGACGCCCCCAAGAAGCCCCCAAGAGGCCCCCAAGAGGCCCCCAAGAGGCAAAAAAAGCCTCCAGGATGCACCCACGAGCCCTCCAAGAGGCAATCCCAAGAGACCCCCATATTCATCCACAAGGCTCCTGACCCACAGCCCAGGCACAGTGGCGGGTTGGGCCGAAGGCCACCAGAGAACTTACACGACCGTCGCAAGCTCTAACTCCTTTCGCAGGTCGGCGGAATGGTGAAGCCGCTTGTAGAATGGAAAGCTTGCAAATAAGCGCCCTGAGATGTTGCCCAATGTTTCGCAGTTCCTGCTCTGGGAATCCACCCGTTCCTCCACCTCTTCCTCATCGGCCTCCTGCTTCTCTTCTCTCCGCCTGCCTCTCCTCTTCATATGTCCTGTTGCTTCTCCTCTCTTTTCCTCGTCCTCCTCCTCCTCCTTTTGCTTCTCCTCGTCCTCCTCCTCCTCTTCCTCCTTTTGCTTCTCCTCCTCCTTCTCTTCCTCCTCCTCCTCCTCCTCCTCCTCCTCCTCTTCCTCCTCTGTAGTATATGTGTACATATTATGTGTTTCAGTTGCATGTATAATAATAACAATCATAAGAATAAGAATAACACTAATACTACTATAGGTTGGAATACTACAAATATTAAGTGTACGGGTGATAAACACATGATAATAATAACTGAAACAGGCTGAGAATAGTACGAATAATGTATTGTTCTTTCATTATTGTCAATGGGTAACCATAATACGACTGGGACTATTTATATGTCAAATCATACTAATGAGCGCTGCTCTTCTTATTATTAGTACCATAGTTTTCTTCGCCGCAGTATTACGAACTGGTGCATTATTATCATTAGTCGTATTCGTATGTGTCTTAGCTTGACGAATATTATTATTAGTATGTTAGTATCCGTCTTACCCGTATGATTAATAGTATGAGTATTCGTTATCATATCATTCTTTTTTATTCGTAACATATCCCATCTAAGTATTAGTATTACCATTAGTATTGATAAATTGTGGGTGTTCTTCCTATTAATATCACCACCATCACCATCATTATTAGTAGTATGAGTCTGATTCGTGTTGTTAGTACTAGTATTAGTATTATTGGTATGCCTTATAGAAAAAGTGTTACTAATGTCACTAATGTTATTTCGATTAGTGTTATGAAAATGTTCGGTCTGATTCATCTTAGTTCTATGTGTACTATCATTCCCCAAACTCAGATTACTGTTCCATCCTCGTCCTCCTCCTCCTCCTCACGTCACCTCCTCCCCCAAGGCCGTCCGTGGCGAGACAACCGACCGAGCCGACAGGCCGCAAACAGCCTGACGCAACCGCACAAAAGCCGACCGAACGCAACCGACAGGGACGCGGCAAAACCGACCGAACCACGGACACCCTTGGTGATCGTCGGCGACTGGCTTCGGATCATAACTCGGATCTCTGACGCCCCCGAACGGTTCGGGCACCACTGGAAAGGAACGCTCTCGGCAACGCGCAGCTGGTGGAACGCATACCGAGGCTAGAACATGCTAGCCAGCATGGACACCAAACATTGGTTTCTTACGAATTTTACGGTGCTATCGACGTGGTGCAATCAATGTGGTGCAGTATATGTCGTCAATATACGCGGTGCAAAGCAATCCAAAGCAATGCAAAGCAATGCAAAGCAATGCCAAGCAACGCAAAGCAACGCAAAGCAACGCAAAGCAACGCAAAGCAACGACAAGCCATACAAAGCCATGCAAAGCAATGCGAAACCATGCACAGCAAAGCAAATCAACGCACAGCAACGCATAGTCCTGCAAAGCTATGGAGGCAACACAAAGCAGCACAAAACAACGCAAAGCAACGCCAAGCAAAGCAGTGCAAGCGAATGCGCAGCAACGCAAAACAATGCAAAACAGCGCGGCGACGGGCGGCGACGAGCCGGCTGGACCGCCATTGGGACCCAATTGCCTTAGAACATAGATAAAAAATCCTAAGCGCAAGCAGTGTTTGAGGAAGCATGGCCGACAACCGGCGCAAACGTGCGAAAAGCTATGGAAACGTCTCCTCTCCGCCCTCCTCCCCATCCTCCCCCCCAAAACCCCGCCTGTTGGCGCCACGTGGGTTGATCTTGTCCAACTCCATGTGGCTCAGCACCTGTCGGCCCCGAAGGCTGCCCGCTCCCAGAGGGAGAACAAGCCTCGGCTGCCGAGCAGCCCCGCCACGCTGCGAGAGACGGAGCAGAGCAGAGCGGAGCTGAGGAGAGCAGAGGAGAGCAGAGGGAAACGAGGGAGCGAGAGAGATATGTGCACTTCAGGTATATGTGCAGGTATACACATATATATATATATATACATATATATATATATATATATCGACGTAATACATATATATACACACAAATAGACATACATATATACATATATATACACATATATATACATACATACATACATACATACATACATACATACATACATACATACATACATACAGACATACAGACATACAGACATACATACATACATACATACATACATACATACATGCGTAAGAATGTACATACATGTATATACAGACATACATACATACATACATACATACATACATGCATGCATGCATGCATGCATGCATGCATGCATGCATGCATGCATGCATGCATGCATGCATACATATGGGCACACATAGATGTGTACAAACTGGTAAACGAACTTATTAAAATAAATTCGACCCATTAATCCCTACGCATTTTTTAAATTCAGTAAACCGCGACCCACCCCGCGACCCACACGCGACCCACCCCGCGACCCACCCGCGACCCACCCGCGACCCACCCGCGACCCACCCGCGACCCACCCCGGCCGCACCCCCCGCGACCCACCCCGCGACCCACCCGCGACCCCCGCGACCGCCACCCGCGACCCCGCACCCGCGACCCACCCGCGACCCACCCCGCGACCCACCCAAAATTTTCGGCGCCTGCGGCGGGCTTCTTGTGCATTCGCTTCAGGTGGAGAACCTGCGACCCACCCGCGACCCAAACCGCGTTCAGTGTACAAATCAAAATTTTCGGCGCCTGCGGCGGGCTGTTTTTGAATTCCCTCCAAGTGGAGGTGGAGAGCCCGCGACCCACCCGCGACCCACCGTCGACCCACCCACGACCCACCTGCGATCCCACCCGCGACCCACCACCGACATTGTTTCAACAAGAAATCAGCGCCTGTGGCGGACTCGTTGTATAGCTTGACAATGTTGCGCCTGCGGCGGGCTTCTTCAGAGCCTCGCAGACTGCAGACGTCCCCGCCGCCCCCTCACTCTTATCCGCAACTGCGGGGTGCTACGTATATGTTATTCATGTGATGTATGTGCTGCTCTTCAGCGACCACCCTGGCGATGATCCCGGGGAGTTTCAGGCGCAGCCGTTCCTTGTGATGGCGCTTGAATGACATAGATGGTCGAAATAAAATGAACGCTTTGACCGTGCGAAAGTAATCCACATGAACGAGCGATATACATCAGAGTGAGGGGGGCTGAACCGAACGGTCATTCACTGTCCATGGGTGCGTGGCTGAAGTGGAATTCCCCGATGCGGATAATTGTTGTTGTTGTCGTCGTTGTTGTTGTTGTTGTTGTTCTGGTTCTTCTTGTTGTTGTTGTTGTTGTTGTTGTTGTTGTTGTTGTTGTTGTGGTCGTAGTTGTGGTTGTTGTTGTCGTCGTCGTCGTTGTTGATATTGTGGTTGGTGGTGTTGTTGTTGCTGGTGTTGCTGTTGTTGTTGGTGGTGTTGTTAATGTTGTTGTTGTTGGTGGTGGTGGTGTTGTTGTTGTTGTCACTGTTGTTGTTGTTGTTGTTGTTGTTGTTGTGTTTGTTGACTGTTGTTTGTTGTTTGTTGTTTGTTGTTTGTTGTTTGTTGTCGTCGTCCCACCCGTGACCCGCCCCGAGACCCACCCGCGACCCACCCCGCGACCCATCCGCGACCCACCCGCGACCCACCCCGCCACCCACCCGCGACCCACCCCGCGACCCACCCGCGACCCACCCGCGACCCACCCGCGACCCACCCCGCGACCCGCCCGCGACCCACCCCGAGACCCCCCCAGCGACCCACCCGCGACCCACTGGCGACCCACCCCGCGACCCACCCGTGACCCACCCCGCGACCCACCCAAAATTTCCGGCGCCTGCGGCAGGTTTATTTTGCCTTCGTTCCAGGTGGAGAACCTGCGACCCACCCGCGACCCTCGCGACCCACCCGCGACCCACCCCGCGACCCACCCAAAACTTTCAGCGCCTGCGGCGGTCCTCTTTTGAATTCGTTCCAGGTGGAGAACGTGCGATCCACCCGCGACCCAAACCGCGCCCAATGTACAAATCAAAATGTTCGGCGCCTGCGGCGGGCTGTTTTGAATCCTTGTTCAGGTGGAGGCGGAAATCCCCCGACCAAACCGCGACCCAAACTACGTTCACTGAACAAGTCAAAACTTCGGCGCCTGCGGCGGGTTTCTTCTGCATTCGTTCCAGGTGGAGAGCCTGCGACCCAAACCGCGTTCAGTGTACAAATCAAAAGTTTCGGCGCTTGCGGCGGGCTGTTTTTGAATAGATCCCGGATGGAGGTGGAGAGCCCGCGACCCACCCGCGACCCAAACTACGTTCACGGAACAAGTCAAAACTTCGGCTCCTGCGGCGGGTTGTTTTTGCATTCTTTCTGGGTGGCCCACCAGCGATCCCCCCAGCGCTGAACTTGTCAGAGCACGATGACGACGATGAGGACGAAGACGCGGACAAGGAAGAGGAGGAGGAGAAGCAGGAGGAGGACAACGACAGGGAAGGTGAGGACCACGAGGTCCGCCAGCTCGACGCCCGCGTCGCCCGCGCCCGCCCCCTCACTCTTATCCGCAATAGCGGGGTGCTACGTATTGACTTCGTATACTTTAGTTTATCCATTGACTGAATAATGTCATTCGGTGCCCCCTCTGGCGGAAATCCCGCGGAACCTCAGGCGAATCCGAATTACTGACGTATTGTTTTAATCCTGGTGGATTGCTTAAGCAAATGAAACTACTTGAATACATTCGGCGCCGCCCGAACTCGCCGCGGCCCCTCACGCGAGGGCGCCCGAACAATTTGAAGCAGCAAACAAACAGAACAATTAGATGAATTGGCAGTATGTCTTGCATTCCTTTAAAGCGATTGCACAACTTAAACAAATCAAATTGATATATATATATATATATATATGTAAGCATGTGAACATATATATATATATATATATATATATATATATATATTATATATATATGTGCATGTATATATATACACATATATCTTATTCCGCTCATTGAACTTGTTTGAGTTCACTGATTTGTTGACTTGATGTAGCCGACAACCCTGGTAGAGTCGGGGGGCCCTGGCGTCGACGAATGACCTTAGTTCATTATACTAATCTTTGTGGATTAGTGACACTGAACATAGAAATTAAATGAATTGGGCGGCGCCTGAGTTCGCCGCGACGAATCATCCCGGGCCGTCTCGGAGACCAGGGGCCCGTTGACGCCCGCGAACCTCGCGAGGCTTGGGGCATCTTGAACGATCTGTCTGCAACAACGCCTCTGCGGACATATCCCGACATCGCCCTCTGACCCCCCCCCCCCCCCCCTTCCCTGCCCCCCCCGCCCCCCCCCCCCCCGGCGGACGCCCGCGGGGCCTGCGGGGGGGGGCCTCGAAACCGCCCTGGCAACCGCGTCGCGCGCGCAGAGGCTGCGCGCGCCAGCAGCAGTTGCACCGATGCCCACATTAAACTATAGCGCGGGCTCCGCGGTCAATATTGCCCTATCTTTCTCGCGCGCGATGACGTTGCGGCCCCTCTTCAAAATCGCCCGCGCCGCCACCTGCGCGCCCCCCCCCCCGCCCGCGTCTTTCGCGACCTCTACTCGCGCCCGAGCTTAAGACGCAAGTCAGCGCGAGGGCTGGGCCCCCTCCCTCGCGGCAGCCGGCGCGGCGCAGGGCCGCGAATCTGCGCTGAGAGAAGGGTTGCGAAAGCTCACCTGGGAGAAGATGCGACTTGGGCGGCACGGGCACCGGTTCGCACTTGACCTGGTTTTCACATGGAACCACAGCTCGGGCACTACGTTGGCGTCGATGGCACGATCGCATGAATGCGCGGCAAATTGCCACGTGGCAGATTTGCTTTTCCGAGGAAATAATATGTTCTAGAAATATCTGTCATTCTGTGACTCCGCCTCCCTTCGTTCCCCCTTCTCGTCTTCATTTTGTTGGTGTCGCATGAGGCCGGGGCGGGGGGCGCCGCCCCCCCGCCCCCCCCCCCGCCCCCCGCGCGCACTGCGAGCGGGGAGAGCGGGCGCAGAATCAGGGCCCGGCAGCAACGGAGGAGCAAGGGCCGCGGCGGACTCGAGCAACATCTAGACCGCGCACGCACGGCACGGCGTCGCATCGCCCGGCCAGGAGCCGCCGCCGCTGCACGGGACGCACGTCTCGCAGAGCGGGCAAAACTCCCTGATCTCGACGCCCTTCGAAGCCAAAACATATTCCGGCACGCCCGCGTTCGAGCAGAGAACGCATTCGAACGCTTCCTCCACGGACTATCGCGCGGCTTCGGCGCACGCAGAATTGAAAACGCGCTGCGAATTCTCGTCGGCGGGGGAGCCGCACCCCCCGCGGAGAAAGGCAGACTTCCTGCGCGCCTGATATCCCGGCGCGAGTCCGCGCCCCCCCCCTACACACACACACACACGCACACACGATGCTCGGGCGCTGGTACCCGCGAGCGAACGACCGCCAGCTTCTCGAAGATCGCAGCGCCCGCGCAGTAGAGCATTGTCGCCGCCAGGGCCTGGGCCGCGTTGACCGGCGCGTCGCGGAAACGCAAGCAAGGGAAACGCGCTGGGCCGCGCGCGAGGCGATCGCCCGCCCCGCGGCCATCGCGCGCCCCACTGTCGCACTGCAAGGAGCCGCTCCATCGCACCGCGCCCGAGCGGCGCCCGGGCAAGCGGCGGCAATCGCAATCCGGCCGTCCTGAACCACGACCCCCAAGTGCACGAGCACTTGGCTGCGAACTGGGCGCAGAGCAATCAGGCCCGACGCGAGGCCGCGCATCTCGGGCAGGCTCACCCACGAGGAAATCCGATAAGGCCCCACCTGAGAAGCACGCTCAAGAGCGGACGTTGGCAGGGCGCCTCCGCCATCACCCACTCGAAGGCGCCCCCCACCGCCTGCGCGATGGAAACGGCCTGCGCCGACAACGGGGGCACAGGCGCGCGCGCCCGCCGGGCGCGGCGGTTCGCGACCACGCGCGGGATGGGCGACAGGAAGGCCTCGACGGCTCAGCGACGCGAACCACTCCGGCCGCGCAGGCTCCCCCGATCCCGGCCTGCGGCAGTCGACCTTTTCGATGTCCACGTCGTCGCCTGAGTCCGAAATATGACTCCGATGCCCTCGCCAGCGAGGAGCCACGTCGCGGTCGTCGAAGCACTCCTCGCACTCGCGAGACGAAGCGAAAAGAATGCACCTGGAGAAGGACACGCCGCGTCGGCCGGGCCCCCCGGCGCGGCCCTGCAGGTCGCGCCAGGAGAGGCCCCCGGGAAAAAGCGCGGTCTGCGCGAGGAGGCCGTCGGAGCCCACGGCAGCCTCGGGCGTCATCACGCGCCAGAGCTCGGGGGCATCAGCGACGAAGTCCGGCAGACCGAACGCCGCCCCCACCGCCGCGCCCCCCAGGGCGCCCCGGATCAACGCGGCCACATGAGCGCCCACATCGCTCGCGAAGATCATGGTCAAAATCGCCTTCACAATCGACTCCAGCGCCACGGGCGGCCCGCCGACGCGCCTGCCCACCTCGCCTGACGGCGGCCCCAAGGCCGTCGACAGCGCGCGCGGACTTCGACGGACCCCTTCGCCAGCCCGCGGCGACGCCGATTCCCCCCCGAGCAGCGCCCGCGCCGCTCCGCAGCAGTTCTGCGTCGCAGCAGGGAAGGGGAGGGCGGCGAGGGGAGGCGGCCCGCGAGCGCGCGAAGCTTCGACGCCCCCCCCCCGCCTCTCGCTGGCGCGCGCAAGGAGAACGAGCCTCGAACAGCATCTGGGAGGAATGATGTCGGAAGCTCCTGCGCGCGAAGCCGGCGTCTCTGACTTCGCCCCCCCCGCGGCGGACGTACCCGGAGCCGCGCGACCGACTGGGCCAACCTCCGCGGCATCGTCGGCAAGCGCGCCCGCGGGATGGCGATGGAATCCACCGCGCGCCCCCGCAGAGCGCGGAGCGAATCGCAGCGCGCGGGGCAGCGGAGAAGGTCACGAACATGAAGGGGCCCCAGGACACACAAATAAATACACAAATGAAAAGATTCCCCATATTTTCCCATATGTTCTGGGTTTTCGTCTTCCCCCCCACTTCCCATATTTTCCTATATTTTCCTGGGAGTCTGTGTGTTTCTTTCCCTCCTGAGAGCTGGCGCCCGCCCTCCCGGGCGCGCCAAAAGTCGCGCACCTGCCCCCCCCCTTGCCGGGCCGAACCCGCGGACAGCCGGGGCTGCCCTGCGGACATGTGGGCGGCCGCGGGGCCGACCCGAGATGCGAGACGAGCAGGGGGGAGACGCCGCCCGCGGGAGCGCGGCCGTCCGCGCGCGCGCGGGGCTCACCGCGGCAGGCCCTCTGCCAATCGCCATAGTTCGGGGATGGACAGACCTCCCTTTAGCAAAACGTGGTTTCTTGAAAACGCCCTGAGGCCCAAACCTGGCGGGCGCAAGCCTGGAAAATCACGGCCGCGGCGCCCTCTCGGGAACCGAAAGCGGACACTACACGAATCGACGCGTCACTGTTGGGGGCTCTTTCCACCCCCGAATAATGACCTGCTCAGTCGGGCCTCGGCTCCCGCCGGAGCTCCATCGCAGAAGTCGGCGCGCGGGTCGGCGGCGGATCTCCCGCGGGCGGGGTCGCGAAGTGCGCGACCGCGCCCGGCGCGGAGTGTAAAGCTGCGTAGGCTTCGCCGAAGTTGGCCTCTGCTGGACCTCGTCGACGACGACGAAGGCAATGTCAAGCCGCCTGGAAATATTGGGCTGCCAGCTGCGGCCGCTCTGGATGCAGCCGAGAGCGTCGATGGCCACGGCGGGGACGCGCGCGTCGCGCAATGGCCTCTCCGCGGCGGCGGGTGGGATGTTTGCAAGAGCATGGGATGTGTCAACTCGTTTGTTAAAATCAATCGCACCACACAGATGGCGCCGCAGTGATTGCACCCGATAGATCGCACCACATAGGACGCGCAAAATATATTGCTCCGCATGAGCCGCACCACATCGATTGAACCACAGATATTACACCGCCGAGATTGCACCCACGTAGAGTGCACCACACATATTGTTCCACATAGATCGCACCACATAGGTGGCACCGGATAGATTGCACCGCAGATATTGCACCACATCGATTGCACCACCTGTATTGCTCCACATCGACTGCACAACACTGATTGGTATAACGCACACTTCTTGGGGTCTACGCTGGTTGGCACTAGACATGTATATATCGACAGATCGATACTGAGAGAGAAGGAGAGAGGGATGGATACAGAGAGAGAGAGAGAAGAAAAAAAAAAAAAAAAAAAAAAAAAAAAAAAAAAAAAAAAAAAAAAAAAAAAAAAAAAAAAAACGAGAGAGAGAGAGAGAGACAGGCAGAGAGACAGAGAGAGGGAGAGAGGGAAATAGAGAGAGAGGAAGCAAAAAGCGAGAGAAAGACAGGGGGAGGGAGGAAGAGGGCGAGAGGGAGGGAGAGGCGGAGGGGGAGGCGGTGGAGGAGCGGGCGGAGGGGGCGGACTTCCCACCCACACACTCTGGGAGGGAGCAGGCGGAAACGGCTGGGCGCGCGCCTCAATCCCCGTCGCTTCCTTTCCTTTCCCTACCCGCGCTTGCCCTCGTATTTCTTGTCCTGTCCTTGTGCTCCTCGTCCTCTCATGTGCAGCATGTCCTTTTCTCTCCTGACACATGCATTCTTCACTCTCCCTGTCGTTCAGACTCGGGCGTGGCGCTCTTCCTGTCACTCAGACTCGGGTGCGGCACTCTGCACCGAGGACTGGAACGAAACATCAGACTTTCATCAGCACGCCTAAGCTGCGCTTGACGTCAGCGATCGACGTCTCATGGAGCGGAACGGCATGGTCCTGCTCGTACTTCTCCTCCGTGTCCTTTTCCGCCCTTCCGTCCGCCTGCCCAACCGCCCTCACGCCCGCGAAGCCCACCCGCTCCCAGTCCATCCGACCGTCCACCCACCCGCCCGCCCGTCCATCCGCACAGACCGCAGGTGCGTGCCGTGACAACGCGGCGTTGGCGTCTGACACCGCGCAGATCACCCCTGAACGATGGCGGCTCTCCGATGGGGTGTTGGAGGCATGGAAATGGGCACCAGCACCAGCACAGGGGTCTGCCTCCACATGGGGAAGATGATCCTTGATTCCGGTGTTGGTGGTAATATGTCGGTCACCTTGGAAGCCAGAATATTACCATCACCGAGATCGGGGTCGCCTTCCCTCGGTGGAGGCACAGCTCCGACCTTGGTGTTGGTGTCCACCTCTAGGCCTACGAGGGTGGACAATTCGACGTCGGCCGACTCGCGGCCACTGGCGGCGCTCAGCAAGGGAGCGCACGCGCCGGGGGACCGCCGCCGCGTCGACGCAGCGCGGACCTGCCGCACGCGCCCGCCCATGGGCCCTGCCTCCCCACCCTCACCAGCCCCCAGGGCCCCATCTGAGCTGACACGGACCTCCCCAGGGGGACAAAAAGTGGCATAGACATAAAAACTCTGAGGTCCGCGCGGATTTCTCGGATCGGCGCTGGTTCCCCCCAGCGGCGCCTCCGGCGCCGCCCCTGGCGCGCTCCGCGCGCCAGGGAGGGGGGTCCAGCGCCGATCCGAGAAATCCGCGCGGACCTACGAGTTTTTTTTATGTTGATGCCACTTTTTGTCCCCCTGCTCCCAGGACTCTCGATTCTGTCCCGCTCCCGCGAGCTGCTTGTCCAGTCGCCCCTGCAGCGAAGGAGGCATCAGAGTGACACGCCTTGAAGATGTTGAAGTTCCCCACGATGTTGCCAATAATGTTCTCGTCCAGCAGCAACTTGATGTGGGGGGGGCATATGGGGCATGGGAGGGGGAGCTGAGAGGAAGAGGGAGAACCGGGAGACAGATGGGATCCAAATCAAGTCAGCCGACTGCCTGGAAGCTGGCACACACACGTGGCTCGACTCACGTGTGGAACATCTGGGGGCCATGTGCTGCACGCACGTGACAAGGGCCAGAGCGCAACCGGCCACAGAAGGGCTGAGCGCTGGAAAGACCTGCGGCCACGCGTGCGTGCAGCTTTCGCCTGGGCTGGCCACGTCATGTCGATCTAGCTTCCTGGTGGAGATCAGGAGGGGAGGGAAGAGAAGAGGAAAACCAGAGCGAGGGGTGCGGTACTGAGGCGAGGGGGAGAGGAGGAGAGGGGGATAGGAAGGATGGAGGAGAAGAGACTGACGAGGAGAGAGGATTTGTCCTGCCCGGACGCTGCCATAGCCCGATGGAGCCTCCGCCTTGCGACGAAAACGCAGTGGGAAACAGGCGAGAAGACCCACAACGAAGGTGCTGAGGGAGGCAGGCAGGGATGGGATGGGGATGGGGGTAGGGGATGGGAAGCGGGGGGGGGGGGGGGAAAATGGAGGGGACGGATAAAGGGAGGAGGAGGGGACGGGGAGGGAGCAGGGCGGACACGGGAGGGGCGAGGGAGGGGATGGAAGGTGACTGGGGGTGGGGGCGAGAGGAAGGGCACACAGGGGCAGGGGGGTCGCTGGGGCCTAGGTTCGATCCCTTCGGGCCTTCGCTGAGTGACACCTCATCTAAGGAGCCGAACTCTGTACACCGACGCCTCTGCATGGCCTCACACTGACTCTCGCACAGGAAAGCGGATCCAGGTGTATACGGGATCCTGGTGTATACATTCTTCGTTGTTTCCCTGGGAGAACGGGGACAAAAAAACTGTACACCACACCACCCCGACGTCGTCCCCGACCCTCCTAACAGTCCTGGGATTGAAAGACAGCCCGCCACTGGTAATGTATATGTTCCAGTTCCCGATCTAGGGGAACAAAAAATGACATAAACATAAAAACTCGGGGGTCCGCGCGGATTTCTCGGATCGGCGCTGGCGCCCCCCGGCGGCGCCTCCGGCGCCGCCCCTGGCGCGCTCCGCGCGCCAGGGAGGGGGGTCCAGCGCCGATCCGAGAAATCCGCGCGGACCTCCGAATTGTTATGTTTATGCCACTTTTGTTCCCCTACGATCCTCCTCCCGCTTCCCCTCCGCATCGCTCCGCTCCTCCCAGCTCTTCCCGTCCGCCCCCCAGCCCTCCCCGGAGCCCGAGCTCCCTGGAGCACCCTCATGCTCCGACGACCTGGCCATCGGCGCTGGGGAGAGGGAATCGGGGCCGGATGCCCTCCCCTCCGCGGGGGACTCTGCGAACGGACAGCTCGGCCTCGATCTCCTGCCACTTGCGATTGCAACTGACGACCTACCTGACCACCCCAGCCCAACCCGAAGACCCGAATCTGACCCGAATTTCGGGTTGGGGGGGTACGGGTTCCATGTGTTTTTTCAAGGTTCCCCGACCCCCCCCCCCCTGGAAATGGAGGGCAAATTGAGGCCTTCCGGTCGGGTTGCGGTGGTTTGGTGGGTGGTGGGTAACACTCCCCCGCCGTAGAGTTTCTGCATGCACGTGCGCCTGCTTCTCTTGGTCTCCCCGCTCTCGGGAGCCTTCAGGCCGCCCAGGGGGGCATGAAGGTCGCTCTGAACACGTTCCCTCGAGGTTGAAGTCTGAAGCAGAGGGACGCGTTAGACACCCACGCAGGGGTGCGGCACGCACATCGGGTCGGGCAAAAGGGGGGGATAGCAAAGGGGGAGGGTGAAAATCAGCTCACGTAGCTGATTTTGCCGGCGCCTCCCGGCGCCAGAGGCGGCTATGTATCGAGGAATGGGCCCCTCGGTGAGGCCGAAACCAGCTGCATGCAACAAATTTCGTAACCCCCCCTTTCCCAATCCCCCCCTTTCGCCCGGCCCGAGCACAGCGAGAGTCAGACTGCACGCACACCCCAGTGCAGGAGCCGAGCCGAGCCCAACTCCGGGGCAGAGGTGGGGGCGCGCGACCGGCGAAGGCCGCGGAGGCCGACAGCCCTATAGGGCACGCGGTGGACCAGCCCTTCAGGCACGGCTGAGCATCGCTTCACCGATCGCCATCACCACTGGGTATGGCCTTCGCCCCGCTGCCCGAGGAACCCCCCTTGATTTGGATATATGAAGGGGCCCTGGGACACACTAATAAATGCACACAAATAAAAATATTCCCCATAGTTTCCCATATGTTCTGGGTTTCTGTCTTCCCCCCCACTTCCCATATCTTGCCATATTTTCCGGGGAATCGCCGATGAATTGTGTCTGTGTGTTTCTTCCCTCCTGAATATAGGCTGCTCCCTTCGGGCTTCGAAGGACCCGTCCCCAAGCGGGGGGCGGGACGGTGGGACTGAGCTACCGTGGCCCGGTGGGCAAGGGAATAGGTTAAGGGATACTGCCCTTGCTAACAGCGGGTTCCTCCCCCTCCTCCTCCTCCTCCTCCTCCTCCTCCTCCTCCTCCTCCTCCTCCTCCTCCTCCTCGGTGGGCAAGGGAATAGGTTAAATGATACCGCCCTTGCTAACAGTGGGCTCCTGTCGTCGCACCCTCGGCGTCGGTTCCCGACACCGCGTGGATCGGCGAACCTCGACAGATAGCGGCCTTACGATAGCGCGGGATCGCTCCATGCTGGCAAACTCTGGGCCACTGCTGGCGCTCGACCCTGCACAGGCGCGGGGGGGTCGCCACCGAGCCGACACGACACGGACCTGCCGCACACGTGCCGACCGACTCTGGAAATCCAATCTCCCCAAAAATGTTGGTGCCTCACTTTTTTTGGACGCCCGAAATGCGTACGGAACAAAATGGGTACAATGCCCAACAACAAATGTGGTCCCAAACCGACAGCGGCCGCTGCTGGGCGGGCGGCCTCCTGTCTCGAATGGGCACGGGCCGCGGCGGCGTGGACAGCGAATCCTGTTCACAATGAACAGGAACTGCTGCTGGGCATCGTACCCCTTCTTTCCGTGCCCACTTCAGGCGCCCAGAACCCCCCCCCCACACCCGTCCTCCGCTCGCGGACCCGGCGGCCGCCTTGCTTCCGCACGCCTGCCGCCTTCCGGCGGGATGCGCCGCGGGCGAGGCCCTCTCCTGGAGCGCCCCGCCTGGGCGCGGGGATCCCAGACCTCCGACGGCGTGCTTCTTGCTGCAGCGTGGGCCACAGGAGGTCTGGACCGATTCCCTGGGAGCGGCTTCTTCTCCTCCTGGGGTCGTCTTCGACGGCCCCCCGGGGCCCAGCACAGACCCCCTGGGACTCAGAGAATGAGCAGCGACAGCCACAGATAACGCGTCGTGCTCGTTTCGCGACCGGAGGCGATCGGGCGACTGCTCCGCCGCACGTGTGCCTGGCTGGTGGACGCCCCCGGGCAGGGCGGCCGAGACCGAACGACCGCTGAGCCCTCGGGGGCCACGCCGGGAGGATCAGACAACGGCATGAGCAGAAGCGTTCGGAGGTCCGCGCGGGCTCTCTGGGGTCGGCGCCGACCCCCTGGCGGCGCCTCCAGCAACGCCTTTGGCGGACCCGCTGTGCTGACGTGGGCTCGCTGACACGGCATGCTCCTGCCCTGGGGCAGTCTGTGGGGACCTGTTGGGGGCCTGTCCAGAGCCCCTCTCTCTCTCTCTCTCTCTCGAAGAAGAAGAAGAAGACGAAGAAAACAAAACAAAAAAACAAAAAAACGCTGCTGCCCAGATACGCAGCACGCAACACGTATCGTATTGATACGGAACTCGAAACGTAGACTGGAAACGTAGGTCCGACGCGATACGTTCGCCAAAACGTGGGCCAGCACCTTGAGCCAACACTCTCTCTCTCTCTCTCTCTCTCTGTAGAACAAGAAGAAGGAGAAGAAGGACAAAAAAAAAGGAAAGAGTAGCACAAACATCAACCTACGGAGGTCCGCGCGGAGTCCTTGGATCGGCACTGGACCCCCCGGGCGGCGCCTCCAGCGCCGCCCCCGGCGCGCTCGGCGCGCCAGGGAGGGGTGCCCAGCGCCGATCCCAGAAATCCGCCCAGAGCCCCCAAAATTCGGGAGCGGCCAAGAGGGGGTGTCCAAGAGAGGGGGGTGCAAATCATGACCAGCGGCATGTGCGCGGCCCAGCGGGGGGGGGGGCCGGGGACGTAATGAATCAAGAAGAGGCGCCCTGAGATCTGGGGAGATATCATGGCCCCCGCCATGATATCCACCCCCCCCTAGCCATCACCCCCCTCTTTTCCGCCACCGAAAAATTCACGTCTGTGCCGTTTGCTCTTCTTCGAGGCGCTGGCGCCCGAACCCCCCGCAGGCCCCGCCGCGCCAGAGCCCTCTCTGCGCGCCCCATGCCGCCCTCGGGGCGTGCAGGGGGGGGGGCGCGGGGCGCCTTGGCGAGCTGGCCCCACGACACCGTGGCCTGCCGGGGAGAGGGAGGGGGAGCGGGAGGAGGAGGGCGGGAGGAGAGAGAGCGAGAGGGAAGCGGGGCGAGGAGGGGGGCGAATAGCATGCCGCTTGCGCAGGGATGTTGCATAGATGCGGGATGCGCGTCTAATCGTAGAGGTTGTGCAGTGGAGTAGCTGGGGCCGAGCACGGGCAATAGTCGAAACTATCCAGATCTGGACCGCGATCATTCCCGCCCACTCGGGCGGAGAAGGAAGAGAGAGTAGAGGGAGGGAGGGTGGGGGGAGGAGGCAAAGGAGGAGGAATAGGAGGAGAGGAATGGAGAAGCGGCGGCGGCGGCGGATCAGCATGTGGTCAACTTCTCATCAGAGCAGGACGGATGACCGCTGGGCGCTGCATGAGCTGCTGTAGCCCTGGCGCTGGCAAACAAGAATCCTCCCCCCCCACCCCCCACCCCACCCCCCAGCTGACTGAAGGGAGAGGAGAAGGAGGAGGAGGGCAAGGAAGAGGAGAAGGACCAGTGTAAAACCAAGAGTAATCAACGATATTGCGATAAACCCTCCCTCCAAGTTCCTTGTCCTTCATAGGTGCCTACACCATTTTCACTGAAGGAAATGCCCCGTTGCAAGACAATCGTCTGAAAATCTGAAACTGTGCCAGGACACCATTCTGGGGACTTCAACGCCGCGAATCACCGCTACTGTTGCGTCTTGAAGGTGCTGAATCGCGCCAGAACGCCGCAAAGCAACTCGGGCATCGTGCCAAAACACTGTTTCTGAAACGTTGGCCGTGCGAATCCTTGAAACTGCTGCGAACTCTGAAAACGAATGTGCGCGGTGTTCAGGCGATAACCACAATTTGAAAAAGCGCCGCCCTCCATCAATGAAACGCCTGCAAACTTTTAAGACGAATGTGCGCGGCGCTAAGGCGAGAGTGAAAATTTGAATTGAAAACCACCCGCCCTCCATCCGCGAAACTCCTGCAATTGTTTAAACGAATGCGCGCGGCGCTAAGGCGACACCACATTTTGAAAGCCACCCGCCCTCCATCCCTGCAACCGCTGCAATGTGTTAAGACGACTATGCGCGGCGCACAGGCGAGAACCAAATGTTGAAAGCCACACGCCCTCCATCCATACAATTACATACAATTATTGCAGATCGTAAGATTCAGGATCGCAGATGGTGGGGAAGTCCCAGGCGAAACGCCCAGCCGCCCTTTCGACCAGCCGCGGGGTGCGACAGGGATGTTACTTGTAAGGAAAAGGGATGGAGCGAACGAGGAGGGGGGGGACGAGCAGGAGAAGGACGCGGACGAGGAGTCGGACGAGGGCGCCGAGGAGGAGGAGGAGGAGGAAGAGGAGGAAGAGGAAGGGCGCCCCTCCCCCCCCCCCCCGCATTTTCACAATGCCCTTGCAGTCCCTAGGTGCCGCTCGGCGGCTACGTGGCCCCCTCAGGAATGAGCCCGGCCTTCTCTTCGGCCTCCGTGATCGAGCGGCTACTTGGCCCCCTCGGGAATGAGCCTCGCCTTCTGGTCGGCGTCCATGATCGACATCTCCTCCCGGGGAGCGCGCGCCCGAGGAGGGGAGGCTGGCACGTCGTGGCCCGAAGCCACGCGCCCAGACGAAGGGGGGCAAACGAACATACAGTCGGGGAGTTGACCCAAGGAACGATAAATAATAAGGAACGAGGCCCCTTTTTCCCATAAATGAAACTCCGATGTCCCATGGAAAATCTCAGGAAAACCCAAGGAGCACTGTCAAGCAACTAAGGAACACGGAGCCCCTCCCCAACGAAAAGGGCTCCTTCGTCAGGGCCCCGACTGTAATCCGGTGAGTCGTAAGACTCGAATTTGGGGAACCCGAATTTGCCCGACGGGGAGCGTAAGAGAAATGACGCGTGCTCCCGCTGCAACATCTCACAGGAACTGGCCCCTCTGAGCTCATGCTGGGACCGCCGAAAACCCGGTGGCAAACCTGAGTTCTTGCAAGCCCGAGTCGACACTCCACCGAGGAAGGAAACACGAGGAGCCATGACATCGGGGGGATTCTCTAGCCCCGACCATGACATCAAGACACCCCTGGTCCTCACCAATTTGCCGCAACTCGAGGGAGCCTCCCATACTATCCAGTTGGCCCTTGCGGATCGACTCTAATCGACGCTAGTCGACGCTACATGGACGCTAAATCGGCGCCGCCCCATCGATTACCAGGCGCCCATTGAGGCTGATGCACTCTCAAGGACGCAATGACGAGGGTACACCAGGCTCCCATGATCTCCTACCGAACCCGACCATGACATCAAGACACCCCTGACCCCCCCCCCTACTTACTTGGACGCACCCGACGTCCTCCCGGGAGAACGTGAGCAGGCCGGGGGGCAGCGGCTTGGTGCTGCTGATGCGGGTGCTGGGCTCGCGGAGCAGGTCGAACAGGCTGTGCATGCAGCACTCGAGGCCCGAGGGGCGCGTCTTGGGATCATAGACCTCGTGAGCGGCGAACGTATCTGCATCCGCGCCCTCGCGGTCTAGACTCCCGGGCACGATCCCACGGACATACGGCCGCACGGATATGGTACGTTCTGCGTGGGGCATCCGCGAAGAAACGCCCCGTATCCGCATGGTCGCAGCCCAGGAGCCCGCCCGCAATGCCGCAGATACGGATATGTGCTTCGCCCGCGAAGACCAGGAGCTTCGCGACGTAGTCAATGGCCTCGGGAGACGTCTTTGTCCGGAAAACCTTGTGCCAGGGATGGGGCTTGATCTGAGGGAACTTGAACTCCGTGTAGTTGGGATTCATCGCCGTGAGCTCCTCTCGACTGCACGCAAGAGTGACCATAGGCAAGAGTGACATGTGGTGCGCGACTCTAGGGTGTCGCGGTGGAGCTGACACCCAAGCGCGAAAGCCGCTGCTATCGCACCACATTCAGCCCTCGGGGGACCCCAGTGGGCCCGCACCAGAGGTCACTGTGGCGAAGGGCCACTCTTGCCTGCAAACGATCCTCACGCGTTGGCGTACCCAGCACTTTGATGATCTCCACGAGCTGGTCCACGCCGCTCTCCCCAGGGAAGATGGGCTGCCCCAGTATGAGCTCGGCGGTCACGCACGCGGTCGACCAGATATCGATGACTGTCGTGTAGTCCGTAGCTCCGAAGATCAGCTCTGGTGCTCGGTAGTACCGAGAGCAGATGTACGCGACGTTGGGCTCCCCTTTCACAAGCCGCTTGGCCGAGCCAAAGTCGCACAGCTTCAACGCGTGCGTGTGACCGTCCACGAGAAGGTTCTGTGGCTTGATGTCGCGGTGGCAAATCCCCACAGCATGGATATACGCACAAGCACGGCTCATCTGGTAGGAGTACAGTTGTACAAAGATGTGCGGCACCGGCTGCTTCATCTTGTTGTAGTGTTTCATGACGCGGTACACGGTGTCGCTGCAGTACTCCATCACCACGTTGAGGTAGGTCTCGCCAGGCTTATCCCCGGATGTGTAGAAGGCATGCTTCAGCTCCACCACATTGGGGTGACGCAGCTCCTTCATGATCTGCAGCTCGCGGTTCTTGTACCTCGCCACCCCTGGCCCTCCGAGGGTCTCCAGAGGCCCCTTGCAGGCCCCAAGAAGCCCCCGGGAGGCCTCAGAGGCCTCCAGATCCAGAGCCTTCCAAATTCCCACGGAGGCCCCCCACACACAACAACAACAACAACAACAACAACAACAACAACAACAACAACAACAACAACAACAACAACAACAACAACAACAACAACAACAACAGCAGCAGCAGCAGCAGCAGCAGCAGCAACAACAACAACAACAACAACAACAACAACAACATCAACAACAACGACAACGACAACGACAACGACAACGACAACGACAACGACAACGACAACAACAACGACAACAACAACAACAACAACCACAACAACAACAAAACCTTGATCCTCCTCCTCCCCCTCCTCCTCCTCCTCCTCCTCCCTCCTCCTCCTCCTCCGCCTCCTCCTCCTTATCCCTTCCCACCCTCGAGGTACCGCTTGTCCTGGAACACCTTCTTGATGGCCACGGACTCCCCGGTCTCGACTACCTGAGCCTGGTACACGATCCCGAAGGACCCGCTGCCCAGCACGCGCTCCGCGTTGTAGGTGAATGAGGCCTTCTTGCTCGAGTCGCCCCCCTCCGGTCCCTTTCCACCCTCATAGAGGAACAGAAATGTGCATACAGTCGGGGCGTTGACCTAAGGAACCCGAATAAGGAACGAGGCCCCTTTTTTCCATAAGTTAAACTTCGATTTCCGATCGAAAACAGAAGGAAAACCTAAGGGAAGCTGCGAAACACTCAAGGGAAGGGGAGCCCCTCCCCAAACGAAAAGGGTTCCTTCCTCAGGGCCCCGACTGTAATCATCAAGCCTTCGGAGGTCCGCGCGGACTTTTTGAGTCGGTGCTGGACCCTCCTGCCTGGCGCGCGGAGCGCGCCAGGGGGCGGCGCCGCCGCCGGGGGGCTCAGCGCCGATCCAAGAGAGCCGCGCGGAGCTCCGACAATTATGTGGATACAGTCGGGGCGTTGACCTAAGGAACCCTAAATAAGGAACGAGGCCCCTTTTTCGCATAAGTTAAACTTCGAAGTCCCATCGAAACCCTAAGAAAAACCTAAGGCGAACTGCAAAAAAACTAAGGAACACCGAGCCCCTCCCCAACGAAAAGGGCTCCTTCCTCAGGGCCCCGACTGTAGCGTTCTGTCTCCTTTGACCTCCGGCATCTTCTGGCTGTTCAGGTTTGCCTGAACCGCGCGCATGTCCGTGGAGGCCATGGCGCTGCCGTCGGATCAGCCCGGCAGTCGGCGGGCACGGCGCTGGCAGTTCCGCTCGGTCTGAGAGGCTGCAGAGCGGGAGGGAGGCGAGGAATCGGTTGCGCGAACCCGCCGGAGTCCTCAGGGCCTCGAGCCCGAAGTTCGGCATGAGCACGCAGGGCTGCGACGCATCGGCCATCTCTCGAGAGAGAGAGGTCTGTCTATTTGTCTGTGTGTCTGTCTGTCTGTCGCTCTGCCTCTCTCTCTCTCTCTCTCTCTTTCTCTCTATGTAGATATAACTAAAATATGCATATATGTGTATGTATTGACAGTTATCTACAGGTATATGCACAAGATATGCAACAATGTAAATATCGTTATGCGTACACCTGTACATGCAGATACACTGGTACATATCTATGTATATACACAGAATTACAGATCGTTCCACGTGTGCATATGATTGCCTACACCTACATGAATACGCACACAAGACTTGAAGCTCGCTGCGCGTCGCTTCAACGTCTTGGTAGAATGCGTGATGCGTGAGATGGGGGTTCCCATGGGCTGCATCAGGACTGGACGCGACAGTCCGCATGGGGCCAGCAAGGTTGCGGGCAACTGCAAAAGACGTGGGCTGGGGAGCGACGTGCGCGAATGCGCGCAATATCATGCGCACGAATGTGCGTGCGCCCACGCGAGGGCAGCAGGGCTGGTGCCCAAACGTGCGGCTGGAGGGATTCGCCTGGAAGCTGTCCCTGAGACCGCCCCTTGTCTATGTCGTAGACTTTCCTCACAATATTTTGAGAGCACTGCAGCTGCCCCAGAAAGTGCTCAGAGAATGCTAAGTGTCATGGGCGCGCGCACAGCGAGATGATGATGATGATGATGATGATGATGATGATGATGATGATGATGATGATGATGATGATGATGGCATGTTGGCGGAAGTCCACCCAGTCCACTGGCGCACAGACAATGGCCGCAACGGCTCTGGCAAGCGAGCGTGGCGCGGTAGCGCCACGCTCGCGACGGACAGGCAGACGATGATGATCAGAGTGGAGAGGAAGGTGGACGATGAAGGTGATCGGATCCGGGCGGAAGTAAGCGGCCTGGAATCACATAGACTACCTAAAGGCCGTAGCCACCATTGCACACCGAGTGCCATCGTGGCGATGAGTGAATCATTCAGGGGAAGAGGAGGAGGTGGAAGAGGAGGAGGAGGAGGAGGAGGACGAGGATGAGGAGGAGTAGCGAAGGATGCGGGGGACGCACGCGATGGGGCATTTGGGGCTCTCTTGGGGTCATTTGGGGGCCTAGGTCCTGCTCAGATGCGTGGCCTGGGGAGTGGAGAGGAGTCGGGAAAGTCATGGGGGGTCTGCACGGGAGGCCGGGCAGATAATGGGAGAATCATGGTAGGGCTTAGAGGGCGGTTCAGGGAGTCGCGGGGACGCAATGGACAACAGCGGGGCCACCAATCCGAAGGGCTGAAGGCGGCTCAGATCTGGGGCAGCACGTCTGGTTTTCTTCTCTGCCGCGTCGCACCCGCGTCTTCCACCCGCCTCCCTCTCCTTCTCCCTCCCCTCCCGCCCACACAGACACACACACACACACACACAACACACACGACGTATGCGTACATACTGGGTACACACATGAGGCGCACGTCCAGATACGGCCGCACACGTGGGCCATGGCGCAGGGCATAGCAGGAGCGGCGCTTTCACGACACCATAGGCGGTGCGCAGGGGTGGTCCCCGAGCGCGGCGTCTATGCGGGCCATGGCGAAGGGCATAGCAGGCGTGGCACCTTCTCGACACCACAGGGGGTGCGCATGGGGTGGTCCCCGAGCGCGGCGTCTATGCGGGCCATGGCGCAGGGCATAGCAGGCGTGGCACTTTCTCGACACCATAGGGGGTGCGCATGGGGTGGTCCCCGAGCGCGGCGTCTATGCGGGCCATGGCGCAGGGCATAGCAGGCGTGGCACTTTCTCGACACCATAGGGGGTGCGCAGGGGGTGGTCCCCGAGCGCGGCGTCTATGCGGGCCATGGCGCAGGGCATAGCAGGCGTGGCACTTTCTCGACACCATAGGGGGTGCGCATGGGGTGGTCCCCGAGCGCGGCGTCTATGCGGGCCATGGCGCAGGGCATAGCAGGCGTGGCACTTTCTCGACACCATAGGGAGTGCGCAGGGGGTGGTCCCCGAGCGCGGCGTCTACGCGGGCCCTGGCGCAGGGCATAGCAGGCGTGGCACTCTCTCGACACCATAGGGGGTGCGCAGGGGATGGTCCCCGAGCGCGGCGTCTATGCGGGCCATGGCGCAGGGCATAGCAGGCGTGGCACTTTCTCGACATAGAGGGTGCGCAGGGAACGGCCACCAAAATCATGCTCACATGCTTCACTTCATCTATCATCACTCCAGCCATAATATAAGTATGTGGGGTTCCTCGGTAGCGTAATTGTTTTCAAGTGCATGCGCTCGTCCTTTCTGCGATTCGTCGGGCCGTGTTGCGCAACACCTGTGTGCTCCAGCCAGCCAGACGACCAAACTAGGAGTGCGCAACATCTAAATACACGTGGCATGCTGGACCCCTCGCCTTGAAAGGTTTACACGCCATCTGCGGGGAACTTCTCCTGCGTATGCGACGCTGTACCACACGCCTAACGCGGTACTACCTGCTTTTCTTTGCGGTGCTACCTGCTACGGTAATGGCACAGGAAGCAGAGTCATGCGGCAAGCACACCCTACGGATAGCCGCTGTACATGTCTAGGCTAGGTTACAAGTGTGCTAATAGATGCCCAAGAGGCGGTAGGGACAGGACGAGAGGAAGAAGAGGAGCGCTAGTTGAGGAAGGCTGCAGTTGGATGTGTACAGAATCCTGCGTGGTAACAAACCAGACAATTCTAGCACACCCACCTGAACACTACAATTGCTCAATGGCTAATCCCGAGGCTTGGATCGTCTCTGGTCCGCAATTTTTTGACCCTGATCATCTGGAGGGTCATGGGGAGCGTCGCCCATCAAGCTCCGGATGTGTCCACCCACGATTCCGTGAAGGAAGTCCTAGCGCGAGGCAACCATTTTTTGGCCACGCATGCTGTCTACGCAGCACGTGCAGAGCGTGTGCGCCTCTTGAATGACAGCTGCGAACACCAAAATGTTATACTCCTTCTCGGCAGCATCCGTGCACTGGCCTGCAAAGGTAATCTTCAGGACCTTTTGTTTTGAAGCCTCGTCGGTGTAGAAAAACGAAGTGCAAGCGTAACGCTGTTTAGTCCTTGCCAATATACGCAGGCTTGTTCCAGGTAGCAGTACGCCATACTTGCAGAATTCAAAACGGAGGTAGCCATCACCACCCCGCATGACACAGCCTTGGTAAGCTATCTTATCGAGGATAAGCTTGATGGCTGTCCGACTTGAACTCTTCGCCCTGCCCTTTGAAGACGCGAATCTTGCCAGCGTGCACTTCAAGGCCACCAATCACTGGATTTCTACTGATGGCTGAGCGAAGGTACTCACCTGGGCCTGTGCGATCAACCATATACTTGGTTTCTTGCTTAAGAGCCGCAATAGAGGTCTAAGGTGCATTCTGCACATATTCTGGCTGGTGCTCGTTCTTCGCCGACATGTGCATTGCTAAGCTGCTCACTGCTACAACGAGGCTGGCGACAGTAATCGAACACATCGACTTCAAACACACCAACTCATACAGCTGGAAGTATGGCTAGCCCCTACTGGGATACAAAGAAAATGTATACACCAATACTGCTCGTCTCACTGCAACAAATGACCCCGGCTCCAACGTAGATCGGTGCCTTAGCGGTCGCAACTGTACCAGACGAGCGAAAGGATTTGTGCCAGCCAAAATTCGTTGAGCCAATGGCTACGGGGCTTTCCGCGCCATTCTAGCTGCCCTGGGGCCCTATGGGCCCCATGAGGGGTACTATGGAGGCCACCCTGGGCCTCTCGGAGAATCCTGGGGACACCTTGGGCAAGGGACACATGTATGGCAACACTCGACATTGCGTTGCATCTTCGGAGGACCTTGCCTATCCCGTCGTGCCCCTATCCGCGTCGAATACATGTCGGACTCGCCGAATCCGCGTCAAATCCACGTCGGATCCGCGTCGAGTCCACGCCACATCCGCGTCGAATCCGCAGCGAGCCCGCGTCGCGAAGCCAGACGCTCCCGGGCAGGCTTGGGCCATCGGCCTCGGCGACAACTGGGCTTCCTCCTCCGTGCTGCCGCTCGGCCGCGGCTGCCCCGGGGGCACCCCGAGGCGACGATAGGGGCGAACAGCCAAGCCCAAAGGGTCGGAGGAGGAGGAGGAGGAGGAGGAGGAGGAGGGTGGTGGGGGAGGAGGAGGAGGGAGAGGAGGAGGAGGAGGAGGAGGAGGAGGAGGAGGAGGAGGAGAAAGAAGAGCGCCGGCGGGGCCGTCGGCGGGCGGCGACAACTACGCGGCCGCGTTGGCGGCGGCCGCGGCGGCAGCGCAACGGAAGCCTCCGCGGGCGCCGGCCGCGCGTCCTCGGCGTCCTCGCGGGCGGGACGGGGCGTACGCAGGCGGGCGAGCATAGCCTCCGTCGCCAATTGGCCATCCTCCAGCTTCCATGCGGTTCTTGCGCCACGCCTTGACAAGGCTCGTCTCGTCCGCGGCGCACCCGGCCTCAGCCGAGGAAGCGCGCCCACGCCACGATAATCTGTACGCAGGCACCCGCCAAGTAATTCTGCCTGTGCCTTCAGGGAGGGTGGCGGTGCGTAAAATCGTTAGCTTTTTGTGGTGGTGATTTATGTACCGCCACCCTCCCCTGAGTCCGAAGAACAATATACTGGGGGGGTCCATGTTTTTTTTGTGGCGGAGCGCCATCCCACGGTCAGGGTTCCCTGTGAGAGGCTTGGGGGGCGCGAAGCCGCCGACACCGTCGGCGTATAACAGACACGTTTCCGTTTCAGTCGTCGTCGTCGTGTGATGGAGGGGGGGCACCCATCTCTCAGAAAAGCTTTTTGTTGGTTCCTCCTTCTCCTCCCCCTCCTAATCCTCCTCCTCCTCCTCCTCCTCCTCCTCCTCCTCCTCCTCCTCCTCCCGCCTCCTCCCCCCCCGAAGCGTCGTCGTCACTCTCTCTCTCTCTCTCTCTCTCTCTCTCTCTCTCTCTCTTACACACACACACACACACACACACACGCACGCACGCACGCACGCACGCACGCACGCACACACACACACACACACACACACACACTCACCGTCCCCCGCCCACCCAACTATCCAACCCCGCTCCCACACCCCAACCGCAACCTGAAATTAAAGGTACCAGCGCTCAATGGAGGACCCTGAACGTTTCCAGGGACCCCCCCAAAACACACACACACACACACAATCCCAAAAGCCTTGCCATTCGAATATCGAACCTGCGTCCTCGATCCTGGAGGAGGAGGAGGAGGAGAAGGAGGAGGAGGAGAAGGAGGAAGAGGACTTGCAGTGTTCGGCAGCACTGTTGCAACAGAGACTGGCCGTAGTTGCGCTTGCGCGTCGCATACTGTCTCCAGCGCCTCCCCAAAAGACCGTCGCTCCGCCCATCGACCCAATCCCCCACCCCCTCCATGCCCCTCCGCGTCTTCATCGTCGTCGCCGACGTCCTCCTCCACTCCTCCAGCACCTCGCACGTGGCCATCGGAATGAGTTCAACGCTTCACCTCAGCGGCGCCAGGATCGACGCAGCTACCACTTCACTGTTGGAATGGCCTGAACGGCCCGCTCTCGGCGGATCGGCGCACCCTGATTAATGGTGCGGAGGAAATGGTACAACGCGGATGCCGCAGCAGTAGTTAGAAGCGACTGCGGGGAATGGCCGAAGAGGCCAAGACGTGCGACAGGGGAAGCAGGCAGGGGCAGGGGCGACGGAAGGTGAAAAAGGTCGAGAAGAACGAGAGAGGGAAGCTCGAGGAACACAGGACACGACCACATGTGCTGAAGGTTGTCATCACCTGCGTCGCACAACATGCATGGCTCAACCTGCTGAAATCTCGTGGCACAGGTCCAGGCTCCCACTCACGATCTCAGGACAGCGAAAGCAACAGGAGTGGGCATCTCAAGAAGCGTAGCCTTCGCGCGCTGCCATTCCAGAGCGGCACGGGCGGTGGGCGACACGAGCAGCCACGAGCATAGACGCGTCTCAAAAGTCAACTGCAATGTGGCTCCAAACAGACTGGATACCAGCTCACGAGAAAGAATGCCCTGCACTTTTGGGCGGCGTCGATGGGCATTTGGGGCGAGGTAGGTAGACGAGGAAACAATGGCAGAGGCAGCGGCAACTGAAAGCCGGGAACGACGGAGAGGAATGGAGGCAATAAGCCCGACACCCAAACATCTTCGGCGAAGGACGGCTGGATCCAGCGACTCGGAGCCATCTTCAGGAACGCGAGTTCCGGGAGGGACAAGGCGACTCCAGCCGCAGCGCTGAGTTGGGGAATAAGGGGCTCCCAGACAATGAGATGAAGGGTCGCCGCTCGGATCTGTCGGGCAGCACTCAGGGCAGTGAGGATCGGGATCTTCGGCCCTCCGCATTGCGCAAGCTGAAACCATCACGCAGGAGCGCGCAGAATGGTGCATGATACAGCGCGGAGAGCACGACGGCTTCGAGATGGGGCGACGACGAGTGGAGAGGGAGAAACTGACCAACGAAGGAGAGGCGAGATGAGACACAAGATGAGTACAGAAAGGCAACAGGGCGAGCTCAGCAGACCGCACCCTCCATTGCCCCACCAATGAACGCCAGCAATGATCCACAGCCCCTGGGCCGAGCCACATCCCGAAGTATTTCCGGACTGGTTTGACCTGGATGTCCGCCCATTCTGGCACTAGCTGTCGGACTCGAGTCGCGCAGTCGGTCTCGAGCGAGAGCGAGAAGGCATTGCCCAGCGGGACAATCTCGCACTTGCGAATTGTGAGCTTTAGGGCGGTGACCCTCTGCGCGATAGCGAAGATGCGCTGCATGTTGGCGAGGGGGGCAGCGTCTCGGAAGGCCGCCCCGACTTCGTCCGCGCGTGCACGCGCCGCCCCGTGATCTTTCTTGCATACCACTCTGTCGAAGCGTTCCATGAAGGGGTCTGCGGCCGACGGGAAGACGCAGCCCGAGCTCGGGCAGCCTTGGATGACGCCGCGCAGAATCCAGAAAAGAAGAATCGGCTTCGAAGCGACAGCCCCATAGCAGCAGACACCCGAAAGAAGAAACCGCACGAAGGTCTTCAGGGGGAGCGGCACGGACATGGCATCGAAGACATCGAACATCCAGTCACGTGCAAAACGGGGAAAGGCCTGACCAAAGTCAAATACCACAAGGAGAGGCATGACTGCGGCATGCGTCATCTGCATGGAATAACATCGACTGTTTGCATCTAGCTCGACTATGTCATTGCCGATATTGCGCGCGCTGACCAATCCCCTTTGCATCTCATTGACCCCGCTGGCTCGCTGATTGCCCAGCTGTTTGAAGGCTACACCTGTGATGGTAGTGTTATCTATACTATTTAGGCCGAAGGGGCGTAGAGCTGCAACGCGACGGAAAACGCCGCGCGGGGAGTCTTCGGGGTCTTCTCCCTCGGGCACGAAGATTCCGAGCATGTCGTTATATCCGAGGGGCATCTGATTGCCGCCGAGTTGCCACCAGAGCGCGTCGCAGAGGACCTGGGAAACCCATTGGGGAGGCTTGCCAAGCAGCGCAAGGTATGGCATCGGGACCAGGGGTAGAATAGGCTGGCCCATCAACATATGCTCGCACGTCACGCAGGCGAGGAGGAGGGACGTCGACGAGGAGGGTGTTGTTCGCGAGGCGGGGGAGGTAGGCACCGGCAGCGGGAGAGTCGACGTGCTTCTCTTCATAGACCTGGCCCCAGTGCTCGGTTATCTTCAGGGATATTGACCGTGGAGAGGTGAGAATGATTCCGTCCGCGCGCAGCCCCACAAGCATGACGGCACGGTCGGGCGGCACCCAGAGCTAGCTGCGATCAGCCAGCAGGCGCATGCGTTTATGAGCCCGAGCCTGCACCCGCAGATCTTGAGACTGCAAACCAACCCTCGACTCTCGAATCCCAGCCCCCGCATCTTCAAATTGGATGGCGTCCAGAGCATCAGCAAAGGAAGTGGGGTGCACCAGGGAAAACACCTGCGCGTCACGCTCGACCTGCAGGTGCTCTCGCGCGAGGTCAGATCTGAGCAGGCGGCGCGCGAGCACCCCATCTTGTCGCCACACAGATCTGGCCACTGTGCGGGGGGGAAAGACGACGTCGTCGTCGTCGCTGGCTCGTTCTCGAAGAAGGCGTCGCGGGCGTATCTGGCGGCTTCTCTCCTCGTCATCCCGTACAATCGTAGTCGCGTCGAGGGCGTCGTCGTCGCAAGATCCAGAGACTCCCAGAATTCCTCCGGGATGTTCCGAAAGTCGGGGCGACGGAAGATGGCCTTCGGGATTGGTTGGGCAGCGGAGGGCTGAGGAGGGCGATGGCGGAACGCAACCTGCAGCGGGGCGCGGTCAGAGATCCCGCGCTGCTCCAACGTCTCGGGCAGGCCCCTGACAGACGCCGAGACGCGCATCTGCGTCAGGACCCAGCTGGGGACGCCGAGGAAGACCTTATCCATTTTCGAAGTGTGCTGGTGCGTGCCGTTGCAGCGCGTGTCCTCATCCGCTGAGACCTCTATGAGCTTCTAGAACATGGAGAGCCACGGGGAGTGGCGTTGACGTCGCCATTCCTCGAGGTCTCGAGGGGCCTCCAGGAAGTCAGGCGGCGCCGAGGGCCGAGGGGGCTCTGCAGCAATGTTGAAGTCGCCCGCGTGAACCAAAAGGAACTGTCAGGGAGCCTATGAGCAACGGCAAGACGGCACATGATCGCATCTA